AGAATTTAGAAATGAGGAAAAAACAAGAAACAAGTATACCTATTACAATAACCTGAAATTACTTAAAAAACTTACTATTTACCTTCTATTGCTATAATATACTGGTTAGTAAAAACTGAAATAAAAAACTGACTACTAATGACAACTATTATTGAAGGCACTATAAGTAAATATACAAAGTTGTCTAAGGTACTGAATGTGGGCGCCGCTCAAGACTAGCTTGAGAATTTACAAATGAGGAAAGAACAAAAAACAAGTATACCTATTATAATAACCTGGAATTACTTTCAAAAACCCACTATTTACCTTGTATTGCTATAATATACTGGTTAGTAGAAACTGAAATAAAAAGCTAACTACTAATGACAATTATAATTATAAATTTTGTAAACCACAGTTTAAATAATTTACCTACATGTACAAGAAAAGCTAAAATAACAGTAGTGGTCGGAGTGTAAAGGTAAGATGGGGCTTAATAGCCACGAACAAATAAAAATATCGCCACTACTGTGCCAAGTAACAAAGGTATTAGTATAAACAATAATCTAAAATCCGGGAGAAAAGAAAAACAAATCATGAATGTGTTGCTTGTGTGAGTCCATTTCAAATAGGTGAAGAAATAATAAATAAGACTTACTCACAATCAATTTAATTTAACTATATTTATTTATTTTAACTAATTTAATTTAACTATTATAGAGCATATTTCATAAAACTAGATAACTTAACTTGCAGTATTGAGGAACAGAAGAAGAACTGTCACATGCTAATCTACATCTGTCAAATTTACCACTAAAATCTAATAGATAACGCATAAAAAACTCATTGTGCCCAAGACTGAGATGTAGTGCATAAAAGTCCTTTCCCCTTTTAAATTTAATGTTTGTTTCGTCCCTTTCTAAGTGTTTTCTGTTTTAGTGTGTTTTAAATTGTTCTTAATTATTTTAATTCTAATATTTTATTTACTTGACTTTGCAATAATCTACTATTTTGCCAATAGAACTTTATCAAAGAAATTTGATAATTACAAGTTGAAAAATAATTGCACACCCACACAATTTGTACATCTAAACTTATTCATTGTCATAAAACTGTCACCTTCATAAAACAATTACTCAATAAATAACACACATTTCATAAATATATTTCTCGAATAAGTATAAATAACTTTTAAATAATACAATGGTATATACCATCACTTTCATTTAACAAACAATCACACACATATCTCTGCTTCATTTTCCCGTTTACTGTCAAACAACTACAATAGCAGAATTGAGTTCTCCATTTAACAATACATAGTAGTTTCAACCATGTTCTACCATCCACGAATTAATAGAGTACCGGCATGTAAGTAATGTTTATTTATTTGCTCATTTATTAATTTATTACAATTTAATAGACTATTTTATAACAATTTGTGGGCCTTACCTTGTATGTTTAAACTTTTAAAACTTTTTATACCTTTTTATTCAACTTACTCAGTTTGAAATAAAACCACAGACATGTAATATTGGCATAATTATTGTAATTTACAACATCTAATTTGTTTATCTTTATTAGACAACACCCTAATATGGGTTTTTATCATTTCAGCATTTATTTAACTTTGTATCGAGACCTGAAGATGCTTTGCATATTGTAGAAAGCGAAACCGGTCGTCTGATAGTTAAATTAAATTGATTGGGAGTAAGTCTTATTTATTATTTCTTTACCTATTTAAAAGCAAAACAACTTAACATTAAAGGTTAGTATTAAAGTACAAAGTAAACCTACACTAGATAATGTATTAAGTGTAAGACAAGACAACTATTGTTACAATAAATAAATACCTTATCTTGCAGACTCGAAGGGGTGGGCTACTCATCGATAGAACTAATATGTGTCCGATTAGCTAAATACCAATTACTATAATCAAGATATTTTTATAAAATATATAATATAATGAGTTAGGTCAGAGACTCCTTAGATTAGTATATGACTGTATGAGTGGATAGGTGGCGAATCTACAAAATAAAATCAAGAAAATTCCAAATATTTCTAAGAATGGAATATTACATCGGATCATTTAATAAACAATCTAGGCAGATAGGATTTGTTATTGTATTGGAAAAACAAAAGAAATCTAATGAGCAACGATACATATTACAATAAAAATAAAGACGTTGATTCTTATTTTTTTCTTACAAAATGAATAACGATATATTATATGGATAATAAAAGAACCGATTTTATAAAATAAATAATTGAGATTGCTTAGGTACTTGAGACTAGTGTGCAACGTAAGGACTTTAGAGAGATTGTCATTATGGCGTGGCTTGATTTTTAAAATATTATTATTTAAGTTTCTTGCTTAATTCAAGTTGCTTTAATATTTAAATATAGTATTAACTAAAATTTCGACAAATGTTAAAGACGCTCAATTCTCAAATCTGTCCCAAATTCGTCACCAGAAATGTGCAAAGCTGCTACGCACTATCGAGTCTTGATCCCAACTGCCGCCCAATCCAAAAATTCCAACCTTTTACATTTTAATTTGAACCATGGGCATATCTAAGGAGACTTTTAATGAAGCAGCGGGGTAACTGCTACAATTTGTTGCAGTTGACAAAATAAAAAAAATAATAATAATAAAGATATTATTCTTGAAATTCTAAAAAAAAAATTATTGGATATTGAATTTTCTCCACAAGTAAGTTATTCCAGTATCGCCCAGTTCATAAAATAGGTACTTTATTTTTTTCAGAATAGTATGGTATTTTTAATCGACTTAATGATTATCTAGAACTTTACTAATTGGTTTTCTCGTTAAAAAACATACATCGTTCCTTATTTACATCTTTATAAATTAATATGGTAAAAATTAATCCACTCCTCTACTATATTTTTCGCAATCTTCCAGTCCCTGTTAAGTTTTGTTTACTAAGTTTCCAAATAAAAAGATAACTGAACCAAGTGTCAAAACTTAATTGGGGGCCACTAGGTATGTTGATATTGTTTGAACACATTGTCACCATCTTTAAGTCCCATGATAGCAAGTTTCTATATCTGAAGCACAAAATGATTTTGTATCTGAAACACATAATATTTTTGGCAGTAATACAAATCCATTGGGTGTTGCCAATACCCACCACTTAAAAGGAAAAGGTTTTTGATAAGATATCGATTCTAAAATATGGAGCAGAAATGATCCTTACCAGAGAATAAATAAACTACATATTGCACCGAGGGTATAGTTTAATTTTGAATATATATATCTTAGATATACAGTATAAATTCAAACAGTTAATAGGAGAAAACGGATTATGGACACAGTTAAAATTAGATCACTGAAATGGAACTGGGAGGACCATGTTGCCATATTTAGAGATAAGATGGACCAAGAAAATTTCAAAGAAGACCTAGGGAAACCTATCGTAATCGAGGACGTCCTACAATAATATGATATGTCCAGCATTACTGAATTCGAGGTGCTTAAGATTGGAAGCAATGGAATAATTTACAGGAGGCCTATGTTTACTAGTGTCTAATAATAATGATGATAATAAAACTCAAAACACTTAGTAATAATAATATTAAATCAGCATATTGACAATAAAACATTTAAAGGGTCACCTGCAAAACTTGATTTTTGTGTGTTTTCCTTCAAACATCCAAGCGTTAACGGTCAGAAAGATATAATAAGGTTGGGCAAAGATCAATTGCTTATACATATATAATAAGTTGTTTATACGTTTCTTTGCAAGATTTACATAACGGACGAAGATAGGTAATTTCGTGTCTTTTTATCCCACGTTGTGGGGATGGGTTTTATCCCAACATGCTGAAAATTAGAGCAATGTAGGAAAGAAGGTGTCCTCTATAGATAGTGAAGATGAGGGTGGCTGTTTATTCAACGATTCTATACCTGATAAATATACATTACAAGAAGTACACGAGAAGATAGAAAACAATGAGGACGTTATAGCCATAGAACCTACCAAGAATACTACAGAAAATAATCCCATATTTTCTGAGATGTGTTCCAACCACATACTCAAAACAACAACCCCGATGCAGAAAATAATATACAATCTAGCGGAAAGACCGCTAGACAGTGAGCCATTCTGCCTCCGGCTTCTATACACCATGTAGCTTCGCCTATTTTCAAAAATTTTAAAGTGTTTGTTTGTCTTTGTGTAGTGTATTTTGATGTTCCACTTTATATTTATGACATTCTACTTTTAATTACTATTTAACTGGGAATAAGCCACAATTAAAGATAAAAATACGTTTATTGACGTTTCAATTTCCACTTCGGAAATCGAGAACAATTTCCGAAATGGAAATTGAAACGTCAATAAACGTATTTTTATCTTTAATTGTGGCTTATTCCCAGTTAAATAGTAAATAATTTACAATGTCACAAGAAAATAGCGTCCGAACAATATTCTACTCTTGTCGGATAGGCCGCAATTGACGAAGTAAGTCTATAAACGTTAATCACATAAAAACTTTTATCAACCATAAACTTCGAGTTTTTATCGAAGTTAATTAATTTCTTTAGTTAAAAAAACGTTTCTTGGCTTATTTCAAATGCCCCTGAAGATGATCTAGTGATCGAAAGTACTTGGGCAAGATTAAATTAATACTATTCTCGATATTTGCCCTTTATACTATCAAAGTTCATATACTTAATAACTTATTCAATAATTTATTTGAAACATTTTTCTACGTTAAACTTAAAGCGATTTTAAGAATGTACTTTAATGTCAACCTATATTATTAGGAATGAGTTAATTAATATCCATGATACTAATTTCTTTTATTCTATAAATAGATTCATTAAGCAGTTTCCTAACAAATATTTGCATGCTAATATACAAATGCTACTAAAAGGAAATAAAACACTCCGTAGGTAGCAATTAAAACTTAAAATTTAATTAAAGCGACTTTTAATTAAAAACAACATTTGACTCGTGTATAAAAACCATTTTCTGAATAAACTTTTTCTGTTCCAGATTTCGTCGCTTATAGAACAACATGGAAGTTCCGGAAATTTGCGATCGTCAGCTGTGGCGAGAGTGGGACAGGCTGTCAACTTGGCTGTGGAACGATTCGTGACAGTGGGAGAAACAATTGCAGATGATTATCCAGAAGTTAGGCAGGGAATGTATGAAGCGTGTAAGGAAGCGCGTCAGGCGGGTACGTAACATAAGAAATCAATTATAGAAGTTTTATTTTGGGCACAAGGGTATTTAAAATGTTAAGTTGACATTTCATTATTGTTCAAGGAATATAAGTACACACAGTTAGCTGATATTTTGGTGATTCAGACATACATACATTTTTTTCTTATTAGAGAGTAAAAGTCGCATCCATCAAAAGGTTACTAGCGACGGAAGAAAATATAAATAACAAAATAAATAACTACAGAATATAGAAAATGTTTAAATGTCTTAGATATTTATTTATACTAGCATAAAGATATTGTAACGATGTCTTTTATGTTCATATTTATCACAGTTTATTAAAGAGTGTTAAACTGTTAATCGAACGGGTTATTCTTTGGGAAAAGGTAAGAGTGTGTTAACTTGGTATGTCCTAGACGTAGACGGCCAAGCACAAGTTGTTCACGCCTGTTAAGCGACGATGACAATGACGAAAACAATACTCTTGATCTTAATCAGCTTAGAATTAGTTTGAGACCACTCCTGTCGCCACAAACACAACACTTTATTTTTAAAATAAGCTTTTGAGTTACTGAAAACACACTTGTCGATCGGCCCCGAACATGTTTTACAGCGAATATATTGGAATTTGTTTACATATTTATTTGTAAAAGTATTTTGATAATTTCGTTTTAAAATATTACAAGCGACTGAAGTTGCATGTGATGGTGATGTGAGGGTGAGGAACATGCGGCGGTGATGTAGCGATGGTTCTTCTAAAAGAGCATAAATGCTGGGTACCGGGGAAGTTGAAAAAGCTCCTTTAATTAATCTAAAACCACGTATGACTTTTATTATGAATATCATCTAATGATTTAAGAAGAGATTGATTAGCAATTGCTCCATAATCAAGCATAGAATTTATTAAAAATTTATATAAAAGAAGTAGAGTGGATTGGTCTAAATTTCAACTTTTGTTAGAAAGAGAATACATTTAATCTTTTAGTTCAAGAGAGGATGAGTTGTGAGATGTGATTTTTCCATGTAAGCTTTGAATCAAAGACCGAACCCAAGAATTTGTGACCATTTCTAAACTCCACCTGCTTCTCATAGATTCTGAGGGTTGAGTGTTGTGGCAAAGAGCTTAAAGAGAGTATAAATTTAATTAATTTTTCTATTGAAAATTGAAAGCCTGTAAGGTTAGACCAAAAGATCTGTTGGTTAAAAAATTTTTGGATAAAGACAAGACAATGACGTTGAATATTCTAGTTATGAAGATGTCTCAAAATGTTGTACTTCCACGCTTTATTAAATGCACGTTTTAAATAAAAAAATATAGTGACGCATTTTTAGTTTATAGCAAGAGCTTCATGTATCTCACTTTCCAAGTCTAAAATGTTCTCTGTAGTTAACTTATCTTTTCTAAAGCCATTTTGCTAGGAGATTAGGAAATTGGATTTTTTTAAAACCCATAAGAGACTCTCCGTCGCTGTCAGAGATATGGGTCAGTATGTTTTTGGGTCATATTTAGGTTTGTCAGTTTTTAGGAGAGGAATGATTGTTGCCTTCGACCAACTAGCTGGACATTGGTAGTGGAGCCAAATTTTGTTAAAAATGTTTAAGAGATACGTTACGGCTGATAGAGGAATATGTTTCAGAAATGCTGAAAAAAATATCATCAGGCCCAGGACTAGTATCCTTTAAGTTAAGGAGAGATGAGTTTATCTAAAAAAAAAACAGGATGGTTTAAGGGATTATTTTCAACTTCTAACGGATGTATGAGATTTTGTTCGGCGAATTCTTTGATTTTAAGAAAATTGGCTGTATATGGTTGATTCGATGAGTGACTTTAATAGATTCTCCCAAAAATGTTTGCAATATTACTGCTCGATGTTATGAAATTATTATTTTCTTTAAACCCTTGAAAAGTGTGTAAACCAGATATTTTTCTAACTTTGTTCCAGACGTCAGAGGGAGGAGTATTGCTAATAATTTCCGATACGTACTTTATTCCATGAAAATGTTTTAGCAGTTTTGACAGTTAGCTCGGCCATTGCTTCTAGCATTTTAAACTTTACTTTATTTTCGAGTATTTTATGCTTTTCATATCGGATTAGAACTGATTTACTTTCCCGGATTGCTGTACCACAACATACATTCCACCACGGTACAGGACATCGACCGAACAGACTTAAATTTACCAATAATCTTCTGGGCAGCGTTTAAGATAAGTTGATTAAACTGCTTTATAGTTACGGCAATATCTTCTGTTATTTTCCAGCTGGAAATATTATAATCAAAATATTCGGAGAATTTTTTCCAATTTGCATTTTTTATTCTCCACTTTGATATTAATAGGGGACCTGATGTGGAAAAATTATGGTTTCTGATACGGATTGGGAAATGGTCCCTGCCATTGCAATATATGTGGAATACCTGGTTGAAATATTGAATCTTGTGGAACTACCGTCATTAAGAAAATTTATATTAAGTTGATCGGCAATAATTGCCTGCCTAGATGGATTTGTTTACTAGTATCGCTACACCACCGCTTGCACGACTTGCGTCTGTACGGTCTTCGCGAAAACACTATTCTTAAATACCACCGTAAATTGCAATTTTTATAAGACCAAAGATAAACACTGTTACTGTACCGTCAGGGATAAATAAAATAAAAATAATAAAATAAAATAAAATATTATAATATGGATAAATAAGTAGATATTTTATAATATTTTGTATAACCATTGTTATATTGTAGTAATAATTAACAAAATTAAAAAATTAATTGAACTGCCATTACATTTTTAAAGAAAATTATCGTTTAACATTTTTTTGTTTGTTTTTTTTTGTCTTCACTTTATTCACAATCTATTCTAAGCTACAAACAATTAAAATCTTTTGACTAATATTGATTAGGACAAGTAGTAATTTTCTCCAATCAGAAAATACCTTTAATATTAGTTTACAAAACTACTACTGCACATATAATTATTAGCTTATTGAATATAAATTACTAAAGTCCGTTGGTTTGAAGCGTCTTGAGTGACACACTTCACCTGTGGTTTTGTATAGCTCACGCACCAGGACATCACAATGACCACTTGGTTTATGTTTGTGTTTATCACTGTAACGTAATATTTCTGTTTTTCTAAATATTATTTTCAAGTCTTGTCGATTAGCCTATTGGGCATGTACCATGGAGCATTATGCACAGGATCTTATTTTGAAATCTGTGAAGGATTTCAAAGTTTGAGTTACTAGCAGTCCTACTACATATGCCATACCGGCTTCAGGATTGATTTCTACTTTAGGAGTTGATTTTCTACTTTTAGGCTATCAACCGGTACATGTAGTGCGGTTTTAATCCCCATTCTTTACGTTTTGTGCAGATGTGTGTCCTCCATGTCATTTGATGATCTAAATTCATACCCAGGTACTTTACGTCATTGATTTGTTAAAGCTGTACACTATTCATTGTGGCCGGTAGGCAGATGTCCCTTTTCCTTTTTAAAGGTTACGTGCTTGGATTTGACTTCATTTGCTTTCATTTTCCATTTGTTTAGCCAAAGTTCGATCTTCTACAGACAATTTTCTAGGTTTTTTGTATCAGTAGCTGTATTTTAATGTGATGCTAATATTACAGTACTATCGGCGAATATACCTACTTTTCTTTCAGGGAAATCCATGGTGTATAGTAAGTAAAACACAGATCAAAGAACACTGCCTTGGGGTACACATAATTGAACTGGGTCAGTGCATTCCTCTTGGTGTCTAACTATAAAGTATTTGTATGTTAAATAAGATTTTGGCACACTATAAAATTTTATCGTAGGATCTTATGAGGTAGTTGAAAGCCTGAATTATATCCAAAAAGCCTGCCAAACAGTGTCGTTTATTTTCTAGGTCGTTGTCGATTTGTGTAACAATTCTATGTACTTAATGAATAGTGCTATGTTCCCGATGGAAACCATACTGGTCTATACGATGTAATTTTCTCAGGTTTTGTGATTGGTTTTGACACCATTATGACTTTCGCTCATTTTTATTGTTGCGAAAAATAACTATATCTCAAAATAGCATTAAACATCAGCAGGATACAAATCGTCATATATACACACATAGACACAAAAGTAATCAACCCTACCCCTAAGGAACATGTGTATACCATTGTACAGTGGGACTCACATGTTTGACGATCAAACCAGACACACTTCGCTATGAAGTTTTACCTATCTGACTCCCAGGTTTTTCCTCCATCCCTTCCCAGCGTGTGAGTTACTTGGGAAAGCTTATGATCTGAACGTTACTTCGTGTGGTTTCGGTATTGGAACACCCTTTGTTTATTTTGACTGTGGTTAGATTATATAAAAATTACTAGGAGAATAGCAGGCCCACTAAACGTAGGTAATAATGAATTTAGAAAACTAATGAACCATAAAGTAAGAGAATTTTTCATAAGAGAAGACATCGGCAGATTTATCAATGCACAGAGACTTAGATATATGGGACATCTACAAAAGAGAAATCCAGAAGCAGCTATTAAAAAATCCCAAAATGAAGACTAGTTTCAGGCAGACCATGGGGAACACCGAAGATGAAATGAGAGAGCCAGATAGTTGCAAACCTCAACAAGATAAGAATTAGAGTTTGGAAAACCATAAGCAAAAAATGTATGAATGAAAAAATATTATAGAAGATGCCAAGTCAACCAACCAATTGTAAAACCAAAATGTTAATGTGCACTGATAACCCACGATAAATGAATCGCAAGAGCCCTAAGAGGGCGAAAATCTCTACGCTAGGAGTGTAGATGCTATGATGATGATGATAGTGTTTAAGATACCGTTTGTTTTAGTTTTAATATAATTTTTTAGTCTTGGAACTCCAAGATGTCCAGTTCCGGTACCATTGTTTCGGAGGTTTTAAAGGTGGTCTAGATCTATTGGGTTTTTTAGATCTTGCAATTTTTGCATGCCTTCCATGATCCATTCTACTAATGTGGTCTCTACACTCTATGAGTCTCGATCTATT